CTGTAGTGTTGCCTGGGGTTGTTGTGGCCCAAGTGCAGGACCCAGCACTTGGCCTTGTTGAAGCCCAGACCATTAACATTAGCCCAATGATCTAATCTATCCAAGTCTTTCTGTAGAGCCTCCTTATCCTCATGCAGATCAACACTCCTGCCTAGCTTGGTGTCATCTACAAACTTACTGATAATACACTCTATGTCCTTATCAAGATCATCAATAAAGATGTTAAACAGAAGTGGTCCATAATAATACTAGATATTATTATTATTAACAATAATAACAATAATTATCCATAATAATACATAATAATTATCCTTTTGGCAGCTTTGAACAAATGGTTGGTCTTGATGTGAGTCATTCAAGAATCACACTTGTGAGCACTTTTTGCTAGAGCAAAACTGGCAGTTGTGGTAGTGCTGGTCAGTCTCTGGGCAACTGCACCTTGCACTCTTACATTCTAGAAATTACCAGTGAACTCCAGTGGGATGGTTTGCAGTTCTTCATTTGGAGTGATAGCAGGTTATTTTATTTGGTCCAAATTTTGAGGGTGCCAACAGGAGCTTGCCTGGTGCCTGATCTGATTATTTTGGGATATTGCTATTTATCTTACTTCCTCAGCTCTTAACGAAGCTGTGTGTGCAGAAGTTGTTCCTTCTATGTATTCTTATCCCCTTTAGGATGACTTTATATTGGCAGAGCACCATAAAGGGGCCAGACTGTTACTGAGAATTGGATCCATTAATCAGAATGAAGAATTAACACTGCTGTGAACTACTGAACCAGCTAGAGCACAGCAGTCCATCCCAGATATATCTGCATTTCAAACAAATGATGTAATAATGCCTTCTATACAATGAGGTCCGTGGAAACTCCTGTGTGATTAAGACTACATATGTATAGTTGTTTTGGATAGGATAATATTCATGGTATAAAAATTGTGTTTTAATGACAGCTCTAAGATACATGTAGATATAAATTAAATATTAGCCTCCAGCAAATAAATGCTGTATACTGTTAACGAAAAAAATAAAAAAGACATTTTATCATGGGATCCAATAAAATAAGAAATTCATGTCTCCAGAATGGAAAGTCGCTCCCTGCTTTCTTTCCTCTTAATGCTTTAGAAGATTTTGATTTTGTATTTCGCAGCAAGTAATGCAGAAGTGTTTGATTAGTTAGTGCTAGTGCCAAAATTAAATGTTTGGCTGTCAAGAGTTATTTGTAATCATTTCCATTCCCAATGCAGAGGGAGTACAGAGTGTACAATAAATTATAAATATGTTGAGCTCCTAATTTTTAATGAGGCTCCCCTATCTTTAGTCTATGTTTTGCTGGTTGCATATTACATGCCCACAAATTATAACAATTCAGGAACTTCAAACAGTAGCCCTACTGCTACAAGCACGTGCGAAGAACACTGATATATAATTTCAGATAGGTGACAAGACACCAATACTGCTGAATATGCTAATGGTCTGTTTACTACAAGGTATCTAAGGGTCACATTTCTTTTGAATATATGGCAGATATTTTATCCTGGATCATACTTAATGTGGATCATTAACTAAATGTCTAAGTGCATCTTAATATGAATGTATTCACCAGGCTTCATCTATGGGCATATCTAACCTAGAACAAGAGGGTGAATTTTCCTTAGGTCTTGCTGGGAATGTTCCCTGGGGACTGAGTTTGGCTCTGATGCTCATTCAGTGACCATGGCATGTCAAGAAAAGTGGTTTTTTTTGTTCAACCAAATTCACTGTGTTGGTTATTAGGGATTGTAAGGTTTTAACTAAATTAAAATAAATTGTCACATTTCTGATTCCTTTCAAGGAGAAGCGAACAATCTTGCTGGTAGTTGCTGTGCTTTGTATGTAGGTTTGTGAATCTGGGCACTTTACTGGCTCTCAAAAGATACTTTTCAGCTGCTTTCCTTCTTGTGACAGCACCTGGCACTGTGTAACCTCTCCTAGACACTTTATATAATACAAACCAGAATAATCTGAATCAACAAAATATGGGTGAAAAATACTATTCGTGACTGCAATGTTACTGGAAAACCAGAGATAAATAGATAGAAATATGGAATACGGGAACCCTAATGACTGATAAATAATGTATCTGTGACTCTCAAGTCTTGCAACAATGCAGTACTTCCTGTTTCAGCTTGAAATAAACCAGTGGAATTAGGCTGTCTTCAAAGTATGTTTAATTTTTTTTTTTTTAAATTTTTAAAGGTCTCTGCCACAACATGTGTTTTTTATTTATTATTTTATAGAGATTTTTAACAGAAATAATCAAATTATTTCATCAGCAATCATAGAATAAACAATGATACCAGTTTATCAAAGACTTTAGTGGAGCACAGCAGGTATCTAAATAAATAATTTCTGCCAGTGTTTTAAGATGAATTCTTCTGCATGAGGGAGTCTTTTCTTGCCACCTTTGTTTCCCTTTAGAGGGGAGACAAACAAACCAAAGTCCAATTTCATTGATGGTCTTTTTGAGTATACCCCATTCTTGCAATTTTTGCTCTCCTTGGAGACTGTTTGACTGCAGTAATTATTTTTAACTTTGCACTTTCAAAATATTTTCCAGGACAGGTGGTGTTGCAACTCTTGTGCCTACTGGCAGAAAAGGGCCACATTCAGTTTCTGAAGCTTGTTACTGAATACTTAACACTGGGCCAAACCCATAACCAGGAAAGTGGGAAAATAAATTATATTGACAGTCAATAAATCCAGATAGAATTTATGGGATGATGGGGTGGAGAAACACAATAAAATGATGTATTGGAAAAATAAGAATGAATCAGCGGTGGGTATCTAGGCAATAGCCTTGATTGCAATCATCTCATGGCTGTTGGCCACCTCCAACTCTTCCCCAGGGCTCTGCTGCAACTCACAGCCTCAAGTCCTGACTCAGAGTCTACACAGCTGGGCAGGTAATTCCTTGTCCCAAATGCGTGTGCGATTTTCACGCATTATACTACCCTATCAGAAGAGCTAAATGTCCATTGTCAGGAGGGAAACCCTCTCTGGACTTGTTTTTCCCAGTGACGTGTAGTCAGACAGTGGCCCCATCATCACCACTGACGTTGCCTCTTGTGTAATCACCACCCCTATACTAAGCAGCATCCTGCTGA